TCCCCTGCCAGCCTGATCTCACCCCCAACTTCCCTCCCCTGCCAGCCTGATCACCCCTAATGGCCTCTGCCTTGGCCCCGATCACCATGGCTTTGTCTGGAAGGAAGTCGGACGTCCAGAAGATGGTTGGCCGACCCGGTCTAATTAGCATATTACCCTCTTAGTAGTATAGATAGATTATATAGAATAGGATTGCTTAAATGCGGGGAAGGGGGAAGCCTTTTTCATCAGGAGGAAATGCTCTTGGCAGACAAAAATACATAATCCCTATAACTGGACTGATAGCCATATGCACTATACTGCCAAACTGGTCATTAAAAAATTGAATCACCTTCTTACACCTTACACCAAACAGCTGTTGCCCTTAAAACCCCTCCCCAGCCCCCACCTTAAGTTCTGCCTTCGCAGTTCACCCAGATTTGGTTCTGATTGATTGGTTTCTATGCCAGTCAGTGTCAAAAGCTCCGCCTCCTAGGCAGCCATTGGCTCCTCACACTTCACCCAGATTGGTGCTGATTGGTCGGTTTCTATGCCAGTCAGTATCTCCAGGCCTATTAATGGGCCTGATCAGAGAGGCTGGGCTGATCAGCAGTTCCAGTGGAGGCCAGAGAGAAAGAGGTGTGTCTGCTGGCCAGGCCCAGAGCAAAAGAGAGAGGCAAGTGCTGATCAACAGTTGTCACGGAGGCTAAGGATCAGATCCTGCTTCTCTCTCCCCAGGCCTCTCTCCAGGCCTGATCCATAGACCCCTCAGCAGTTAATGCTGGATCGGTCTCCTGCAGCCCAGGCAGTCAGTGCTAAGTCACCACGGCAAACCAGCACTGATTTCCAGTCCTTGTGGATGTTACAGACCCTGGAATTTTGTATAATAGGATGATTTCAAAATGAATCCCCCCAGTTTTAACATAGAACCAGGGACTTTGTTTATGTTTTGTGCCACATCCACAGTTCCTTAGAGTCTCCTCTTGGGTTGGGGGATGTGACATAGCCTTTCCCTCAGTGATTCTCATCACATTCAACCAACTCTGCTGCATGCGACTCTTGGAGACATTTATTGGTGGTTTGTTGCACATTTGGGCTATAATGTCATTGTCCCTGCTTTCTATACCTTATACCAGTGCATGCATGTGCATGCACACACACACACGCACACACACACACACACAATCTGAATTTCTTCTCTGCTCATTCCTCATCATGATTCTTTCCTCTCTCCTCTCCTGATCCCACCAAAAGCACTGATAGATGACAAGCTAAGAGTATGAACTGATGCGTGTTGGATATTACATATTCTTAAATGCTAACTTTTTGACTAAATGTGAAAGATTTTTTAAAATAAAAATGCATTACTAATTTTGAATATCCTGTATTAAATAACACAGTCCAGTGCAAGCTACATAATAATAACTTCTATGATGTTTTTAGAGCAGCTCCAGGCCTGTGCTCCAGAGATGATGGGAGAGGGTTTGCTTAGGAAGCACATGGCATCTATGGTTCTGTGTGAAGAACCCAACAGGAGAGAGACCCTGGCCCAGCAGGAACACACACATCACCCTTGCCCCACCACTGTCGCTGCAGTGCTGGCCACCACTGGACCTGATGTCAAAACAAGGCTGAAGTCAAATTCAAGCAAGACAGAGGCAGAAAACTGGGAAGCCAGGTGCATGGGCATTAGGTCCAGGCCCAGGCTGTCAGGAGCTGGCAGCAAGTGCATTTAAGGAGTATGGAAGGAGCAACTCTTCCAAGCAACCAGAAAAATGAAGACTCTGTTAACAAAATCCTTGGAGGAATTGACAATGACTATTCTGGGCAACTAGTCCTAAAAAGAAGCAGCCCTCCCACCACAGCACCTGCCAGATGGGACAAGAACAGCAAAGGATCACAGAATGGTCAACAGGGACAGACCACTATTGTTTGACGGATAGGGATCCACTGCTGTCAGCCTTTGATATGAGTTGTCACTGGTTTCTGGGGGAAGATCTTAGAAGATTATTTCAGATATTAAAGTATGGGCTGTGACATTCTCCCTTAATCACCAATTAATTATTATAAAACTAGAGGCCTGTTGCATGAAGATATTCAGATATTCATCCTTCCTTTCCCCTGGCTGCTGGCACCAGTTTGGCTCCGGCATCCAGGGACCAGGCCTTAGCTCTGGCCGAATTCCAGCCTGAGCCGACCCTGGGGATGTGAGGCCTCACTGCTCCGCTGGCCCCGGGGCTATGAGGCCTCGCTACTTCGCTGGTCCTAGAAACGCCAGGCCTTGCTGCTCCGCCGACCCTGGGGGCCGTCAGGCTTCACTCCACTGCTTGGAGCCTATGTATGCAAATTAACCGCCATCTTTGCTGGCGGTTAATTTGCATATCATGCTGATTAGCCAATGGGAGGTGTAGGGAAGGTATGGTCAATTACCATGTTTGTCTATTATTAGATAGGATAGGACTTGAAGATCCCCTTCCCCCAGGTATCAACAAAGCCCATTTGGACCTGGAGGATTCCACCCTACACTTTCCATCAGCTGCCACCTGACCTCAGTCTTGCCATCTCACTGAGATAACGAGCACATAGCTTTTCTTCTCTCCCATAGCTATAGGGAACTTGTTGCTGTCCTTGAAGCTTTCTTTG